ATATACAATCTGTGCCCGTGGGCACAATAAGAATATGTGATAAGTGTGAATTTATAACATGAAACCACGTGAGAGATGAAGCCATCCAGTGAAAGCACTATATATTTATTTATTTTTGGTCTTTTTTTTTTAATTATTCACTAAGCAAATCACGAGACCGAATTATTTTAAAACGGAGTAAGGGATTGCCCGCAATTGTTAGAGTAGCTACAATTATTTTAGATTGGGATGGGGTGAGTTGTAACAACTCAAATTGTTCCAAGTACTAGGTATGCTTTATTTAAAAATCAATAACCGTTCTTAATTAAGTCAGTTTTTATTCTAAACTTTTGTCYCAATTGTTTTTATTATGAAATTCTATCATATATGTTTAGGCATRAGTGGCATGTGGCTACTAGTCTAGCACYATCACTRGGGGAAAGTATTTCATTGTATATTGTTCTCCTAAAGAAACGTCTTAAACTACAAGTCAACTAGATTTTTTTGAATAGATATATCAGTGTATCTAATTATGCATTCATTAATTATTTGAATATTAATTCATAAATCACAAATTAACGTTTTTTTTATTATGACCATAAAGATTAATCGCTACAGAGATTAACCTGACGGCTAACATAAAAGTCAATGGATAGGCATGAGTGGTATGAGTCTATATTGAACCACCTTCATTCTATTTAAATATAAATCACCTAAAAAACATTGGTTAAAACTTTTTATACATAATAAATTCCAGTTCTGTAATTATTAAAAATACAGTTCCATATACTATTAAAATAAAAATACCCAAATTCATACCCTAACCTAACCTAACCTCAAAAACAGTTTAAAAGGTGTCAATTTAAGCCTTGGAAAAATTTGAAGTAACAATTTATATAATAAATATAGATTTCTCAAATAATTGCATTGAWTTGTAACACATTACTATATTAGGAACTTTTATAGAACACAATGCAAAATAGAGRCTACAATAATAAATTACTTTTATGATTACATTTTTAGTGATTCCAGATTATGTTATAAAGAAATCTAGATTTTTCATTCGAAGAAACTTGAACAAAATTATTTGAAGGGTTTTTCATTTATACAAGTCATAATTACATATATTTGTAGTCAAACRCCACAAAGGTACTGATTAAAGTATATAGGACGACATTTTAAATTAAAAAGAGCTAAAAAAACAAAGATAATTAAAACAGCTAAACAAAGGAAATTATACAATRGAAAACTTTAAATAACATAAAYCCAAATTGTATTAATGATTTAAAACTGTAATAGCACATCAATACTGCCTAATCACGGTTTAGAAACTATCAAGCCAAATATCCGGTGTTTGTAATGTTAAGTAACRTTTACTCCGATATTCAGCAAACGGACTAACAAAATCTCACCGTTATTAAACTTTTCAAATATTTTCAACTATAAAATCTAATTTATGTAGTTCATGTCTGRTTGAAACACTAAACAATTAATTGTTATTACTAATATGYGTTGACTTCATACCTCCACATAATATAACATGCTAATATGTAAAAGAAACCTTAAAATAAACGCTGTTTCAACTGCTATTGTCCTTTGCATTTATAAAAATAATCATCCAAAAGCAAAAGTATCTACAGTATCCTTATTTAAACGCGGTTGAGTTTAAGATGGACGATGACAAACCAATTGCTAAATAAGACACTCACGATGGTTTAACGATGATAATTGAAACTGACGAGACAATTATTATGCCATTTATGCTAAATATTGATGAAGCTCAGTTGACGTATGGATGCAATAGTTGAATAGGTAGTCTTTATTATAGTTTTTTTTATCTAACACAATGATTTCTTTCAAATTTATTTGTGAAATAAGTCATCTATATAAACTCTTAGCAACAGGTAAGTACTACAATTATATTTAAAGATATTTATATGTATAAACCTACGAGTATTAATGCAATTAAATAATTTCATGTTATTCAAAATTAAATAATTAATTATGGTTTATGGCTGTCAATCAGATAGGATTTTCATATTTTATGAACAAATTACATTTTTAATTGATGGAAG